TCAACTTATGGCAAGGAAAACCTGGGGCACACTGTCGGAAGAAAGCCTTCAAGAAGGAGCTGCGGCATGGGCTTGGCTTCAGCATTGGAAGGATGACAGATCTTCGGCAGGCATCAAAATCTGGCAAGGGGTGTTCAACAAACTGGCGCCACGGCAGGAGGTCATGAAGAATTTGTCAGATGAGTCATTCTGCTTTTGCTTGAGCTCTGCCACATGGGCTTGTATATGGTGGCCCGTGATTGTGGTGGACACTCCTGAAGCGAACCACTGTGGTGCCCTTGGAGATGCGTGCTTTGTGCTGGATGCTGAAGGGCAGGCAGACTTCATGTTCATCGAGCAGCCAGAGATGTGGATGGTGGTGGAGACGCAGCCTGTTTGCATTGAGTGGCAAGGTGGTCTCCGATTGGCCAGGCAATCGTCCGGTGTGGAGCGCAGCTTGCTGAGAACTTTTCTTACACAGCCAACGCTGCTTGGATCTGAAAGTCGCGCTGTGACACTCATGTCAGGCAGCATGCTTGATGTTGTCTTGTTGTCAGTTGTGCTGTCACCTGCTCAGGCTGACAAAGAAGATGCTGAACAAAGAGCTGGCGGCCCTGGTGTGCTACTTGAAGGGCATCGACCTGCGTGCTTGCAGCAAGACTGCTGTGCCAGTTTTTCAAGCGATGAGCAGACCTGAGCTATTGAAAGTTCTTGCTGCGGAAACGTCACAGCGGGATGGCGATACTGATGACATCACGGCCAACTTCGCGGCTCAGGTCCAAGCTCTGCACAACAATGCCCCCGCTGGCAACGACAGTGATTCTGATGAGAGTGCCTGCAATGCTGATCAGGATGATCTTGAGTTTGATGCAATGGTGTTGGAGGACATGGACCCAGAAGATCGTCGTGAGTTTGAGCAAGTTCAAAAAACAATTGAGAAACATCAGGCTCGTGCGAAGCAGAAGGAATGGGCAGTAGTCAGAAAGGCCATGATGCCAAAGGCCAAGGCAAAGGCCAAGGCAAAGGCCAAGACAAAGGCCAAGTCCAAGGCCAAGACAAAGGCCAAGGCCAAGGCAAGCAACAAAGCCAACATAATAAAGGGGCTGAAGACTGCCAAATCAAGCAGCTCCAAAGTGGCCAGCAAGGCGAGCAGGAAGATTTGGCATGGCGCACTGAAGAAGAAAAGACAAGACTGCCCTGCTCTTCGCGAAGGTGACACCCATGAAAAGGGAAACGTGCTGGTTGAAGTCCCTGAAGAAGTTGAAGCTGTGACTCCGAATCCATGGCAGCGGCGGGTGGTTCGTAGAACTCACTCAGTGTCGTCGTGCCCTGAATCTGCGAGGCCTGCTGCGCAGGCCGAGGCTGCTCCAGAAGAGCGGCCAGCCAGTGTGGCGGAGGACAACAGCACGGCTCCTCCAGAAGACAAGCCAGCCAGTGTGGCGGACGACGGCAACAGGCTGAGTCCGCAGGCGGACCTGCCACCTGCCAGCCACACCCAATCTCCAAGCAAATCGACAAGGCACAGTGATGAGCCATTGCCAAGTTCTGGGGCAAGTGTCATTGCTGCTTCCAGCAGTGCCGATGATTTGGCTATGGCTGATGGTGCCGGTGCACAATCAAGTCGCCCTGGCCACCATGGACCCCGGCAACCTGCTGTGTTTGATCCGCTTATCTGGACTGAGGTTTCCTGCAATACCTGCCGCAAGCAATGTGGGCATTACAAGTTTCATCCAGCGCCAGGGGGCCGAGACAAGCCAACCTGGATCATGAGGTGCTACGACTGGGAGAAAGGCGGGCAAATCATAATGACCATTGTTTGTGTGTGTGTGTGCGTAATAATAGTCTTGAAGTCTTAGTTCTGTGCTGTGGTGGCGCTCTGCCAGGCGAGTGGCCATCAAAAGGCCAATTGAGGAGGACAAGCACTATAATGACTGAGCTACAGGTTAAGGACTGGATCCAGTCTTCCAAAACATGTGGCTGTAGACAGAAGGCATAATTCTTTGCTCGTTTGCGAGTTGCGCACGACTTGATAAAATAGCGAGAACCTCTGGTGTGCTGAGTGCAAAGTATCTCATCAAGTCATTGGCCTGCTTGCACTTGTGTACGGGAATTGCTTGTTGGCAAAACAAGTTGTGGCGGTTCGGTTCAAGTGCTGTCAGTTGAAAGCGCAGATTCAAGTGCTTCCCACTTTTGCTAAACTCGCAATGTCGCTGCTGGGCTTAATAATGATTGTATGCATTAGGTGTTGCTGTCATCAATTTAGGCAAAGTGATGGTGCGGGGTTCGGGCACACACTATCTAAGGCAGAAGCTATGGAAATGTGAGGATGCTGGTAGTTTTGCTACTATACTTATTGAGTCTGCGTCGCCGTGCACAAACAACATGGCCAATGACACTGCCATTGATGATGAGGAACACCAGGAGGCCACATGCCAGGAGGGCACCTTGAGTGGACCCCAAAATGTGATTCCCACAAAAAAAAGACCACGCTCTTCGACTCCAGACACGGGAGATCTGCGCCCAGTGGTGCTTCAAGAAGTGCTTGCTGACCAGATGCAGATGCCCTTACCAACTGCCGATCGCAAGTTCAAGTTCATCGAAGGTGACTGGTTTGTTCGGATGCCCGTGAGCTACAGCACATCGATGCATAAAAAGGTGTGGTTTTTTACTGCCAGGGCTGGAACTATTACTTTGGCTGCGCGAGATCGTGTTCTTTGGTGCTCTGCGTGCGGCTTAGCGCACCATTGTGGCCCTCAGTGTTCATGTGCCTGTCACAAGCTTGCTCGTGCATATTCAATGCGTCATGGCCTCGTGCTGGATTGATCTTCAGCCAATAATAGACAAGCAGTGTGTTGCTCCAGTACAGAGCGGAGCTGCAACTTTTAACTGATGGGCGAACTGCTTGACTCGACTGTGTGCGACTTTGGAAAACAGCAACAGGGCTGCGCAAGTGAGTTTAGATGCGTGAGTGCGGAAGCTCACTTGAGGCCCAGCAGTCAATGGAACAAGAGGAAGAAACAAGTTGTCGCTCTATAAATATCCTGACTTCATTTGAGTTTATGGCAACAGCCGTGCGCGCACATGCCATCATGAATGACATGAACCATGACCCATGTTCAGGCTGCAAACATTCCAGTCATGCTTGAGATGCGGTTTTGCGGCTCAAGCCTGTCAGTAGCAGTTGACTCAACGTGCTTGATTGAGATTTTGTGAACCATTGACATTGAAGCCTCATGTCAACTGGCTTGCCTGCTGATAAGAAGCGTCGGACAGTGACATATTCTCCTGCAAGTCAGACAGTGTGTCACACTGAATCTTCAGAATCAGAAGTTGAAGCCAGTGCGACAGTGTGTCTGAGTCAAATCGAACGTCCTCAGCCTGACTGGACTGACGCTCAGCCACGGGACTGGGGAGTTGAAATGACTGAGCCGGAGCTTCAGCAGGGGAATGACAATGACGACGTCAAGCAGTCAGATTTATCGGAGCTGGACTCGGAACTGGAACGTGAACCTTGCCCAGAATTTCTTGCAGAATCTATTCTGACAGATTTCAGGACCGGTGACCGGCGCAACATGTGTTGTCGTCCTGGTGTGACTATTATGTGGGTTGGACATGAAGCGTTTTGTCAGTTGCCGAGTCAGCTGAACGTCAATCGGGAACCTGTGACCTTTGTTACTGGCATGCGTGGCGCAGTGCTCATGATCATCAACGACAAGCGCAAGACAATGCATTGCTCCCATTGCTCGAACTTTGATTCGACTTATGTGCAAGAATACCCCAGTCCAACGATCTGTGAAGATGATGATGATGATCCGTGCAGCTGTCCTTGCCACAAGTTATTGAAAGCGCTTGACTTGGATCATGGCAGAGTATTTTTTTGAGCTGGCTCGCCAGCGACGTCAAGAATGAATAATGATGATGGACAATGGAATGGTCCAACGTTGCTGGCGCTAACGTGCGCTCATGATGACTTGCGACTCACTGATGCAACAATAAAAAAATAATCATTATTATAGAATTGAGTGACACACACTTAATGCATGTTGTATGTTCTTGCATGTGTTTGTCCTTGTTTGCATTTGTGTCATGTATGTTTGCATTGTTTTTGCACTCTTTTTGTATTTTTTTGGTATTTTGTTGCATTTTTTTGCATGTTGTTGCAGTTTTTTTGGCATTTTGTTGCATTCTGTTTTTTTTTGGGACTTTTTTGCATTATTTTGCACTTTTTTGCATGTTTTTGCACTTTTTTGCATGTTTTTGCACTTTTTTGCATCTTTTTGCATTTTTTTGCATCTTTTTGCATTTTTTTGGCATCTTTTTGCACATTAGATGCAAAAATAAGATAATTTGAGATAATTTGAGAAAATTTGAGATAAATTGAGGTAAGGTCTAAACCCCATGGATCTGAGGCTCTTAATATAATCACTGAACGAGACGGTATACGACGCGCCCGAGGACGTGGAGAAGCAGCCGGCCACCGAGTTCCGGCTGCTGCAGGACAACGCCGACAAATTTCAGCACAACAAGGACCTCACGGACCGGCGCATCAAGGCAGTCGAGGATGTGGGGCTGTCCGAGCACCAACGAATGCGGCGTGGAGCTTCAACCCACAGTACGGCAACGTGCAGCAGCTGCGGGCCGTGGACTCCATGACCGTCCGGAGCACCGAAGGCCGGGAGACCCTGCTGAAGCTGGCGTTGCCCTGCCGGCGCCCCAGGGCAGCGGCAACGCGGCGGGCCGACTGACGAGGCGGGGCAGACCGGCTGCGGTGAGGCAGCTGGACGACTTCCTGGGGCCCAGGCGGCCCAGAAGCGATTCGGGCCGCTGACTTTCTTGAGCAGACCTGACGGAAGCAACATGCCTTAGCTTGTGGAGAGAACTTTTAGCCCAACACGATTTTGCGAATCTCGACCTTAGAGCGATCCCTGGACCCCGCCCAAAACGGCCATTCAATTTGTGGATGCAAGCCTGACACCCATGACATGTGCTCCCACCTGCTAGCGCGTTTTTTTTTTTTACACTCACAAAAGTTTCAGCACGTCCAGCTGCGCAATGATAGTCTCGCAACTCATGAGAGAGTATTTCTTCTCCTCCTGACGTCTGGCCCATGTCTTGTTTGTAAAGGACTGCCAGCCTTCAGACTCACTGCAAATCTGCAGCAACACATTTTGCATGTCCTCAAAGTTGTCCTTCTTTGCCTTGTCCTGCAACTTCAGGCCGCCTGCATCCTTTTTCTTTCCATAACGACATTGCGCAGCAATGAACTCGAGCTTACCAGTTGCCTTGCGTCTCACAGGGATCAAAAGGTCGTGGTGAGCCGTTGCAAAATTCCGGTTGGACTTGATGGCCTTCCCAACGTCACTCATGACAGTTGCTTCATTGCCTTGGCCGCTTGGATATTCCACACCATCACTCCAGCAAACTTCGAACGGCTCCAAAACAGCTCGCAAATGTGGATCCTCCGTAGGGTAGATCTCCGAAAACGGGACCCAGGTGACTTCAGGACTGAGATTTCTTGCTACGCAGTGAAGGCGGAAGCGAACAGCCAGGGAATTGGCCACCAGGCCTTCCCACAGCGGCCCCCTCTCTGTAGCGCCCCTTTCCTGCCCTTTCAACAGTTCCAGCAAGTCTGGCAGGAGCCCTTCCAACGAAATGTTCCGCTGTTTCAAGTCGTTTTGGAGGGCGTCTTTGATATTGGTATCCTTACACCACCACAGCCGTGGAACCAGTACGGACTTGTTGTTTGGAAATGCTGCTCCGGCCCTGAAGATGTCTGACCACCTTAGTGAGGTTCCGGGCACAAACTGGTTGCCTTCTGCAGGCCATCGAACCGCCGAGCAAAGAACCAACGACAAAGCCACTTTGGGCTCAGCGAAATAAGGCGCTGCATCCGCGTACGAGCTTTCGAACTCATTCGACATGGCGTTGAGTGCAACCTGAGCAGTTGATGCCAACTCACCCCTGGTCTGGAAAGCCGCCTCCAAAAGCCGGGGTACCCCGGCAGAGAAGAGGAAAAATTTGTTGAATTCCTCCTCCTGGTACTGCGTACCCCTCCAGCCTTTCATGGCTCGTCTGGCAGCTTGCAGTGACAATGGCTCTAGAGCTGGAGCTTTCTGGACCTTCAGCATGGTGTACTCGTCGGATGGCCTATCTTGCAGGATATTGACTGTGCCTGCGGAAAACATGCCAAGCCCCTGCGGGAATCGGCTCAATATTTGGGTGAAGACCGATTTCTGTCCACGATGTTGGCTCAGTTCATCGACCTTTCTGTTCACAAGCAGCTCTGCCTGATCGAGGAACAGTAAGCAAGGGCAGGCTGGTGTTGCATTGAAGGCTGCAGCCGTCACCAGAAGCCACTGCTCGAAAACAGCTTCCTTGATTCTGCAACGTAAGCGAACCCAAGCCTCAAAGCTGTTGACAGCTGGCGATGATCGGCTGGATTCCAATATGTTGACCAAATCGCTGAACCTCGTCGTCTGGAAACCAATGGGTGGCCCTTGGCTCACCTCCACAGAGTAGCCATCGAAGATCTGGCAAAGGTGCCACAAGATGATGGCAGAAACCAGCAAGTCAGGATCTTTGCGCAGCAGCGTTGGCGGAATCGTCAACGCATCAAATACCAAGAGCCGCCCGCACCGTCGACTTTCGGAAAAGTTTGAGACCTTCGCCAAATGACGAATGAGCGATGTCTTGCCGGTGCCCCGCGGGCTGTACAAGGCCAAGACCGTCGGCTTGTTGGTCTGTTTCCTTTGGATCTCCTCCATTTGCTCCACAACACTCTCAACAACCGCCTCTCTTTCCTCAAAAGGCCTCTCATTCTTGTTGTTGATTCGGCGGTTCAAAAAGCGGTCTTCCAAGTCCGAGAGATCTGCGGCGTTAAAACGAGGGAGCTCAACCTGCGCGGAAGGTGCCCAAATTTGAGGTGGCTATGCATGAGGGAATGCTGGGAAGGACAAACAATCGCAACAAACCAAACACGCATCGGCAATTGGTGAGAAAATCGATGACTAGCAGGTTCCTTCCCACTGATTCATGTATTGCAAAACGCTAACCATTCACAACACTCCACAAAGAAGCATGGGTACTTAGTGCGAAAGCCGAGCACTAGGAAAGCGAGGAACACACGGGTACCAAAACCGAAACAAAACCAAATTTCCAGCAGGAACACTGCCCATGAAAGCAAAGCGGGAGATGCGTGGTTCAGCTCAACAATCCTTTTGTGGGGCTCCACGCTGAGCAAAACCACTGAGTTCCCAGGAACCCCGACAAGGTTGATGAGGGGGGAGAGTGGCGTCAAATATGTTGAGGTTCTGTGGATGTGATCAGGGCAGCCCCACTGAAAGCATTTCCGCGGGGAAATCAAAACCACACAAAAAGGCAGACGGCACGTCTCAACGTCACCCGGCAGCAGAAATACATTGTGCACACTTTAGCAATCTCTCCATGCTCGTGCTGTCGGAACAAAATTTAACCTTCGGATTGCATTGTGTCTGCAGCAGCAACGACCATGGCAGAAGGGTAGGTCTTGCTCTTCAAAAGGCAGGCGACTGGAACAGCAGGCTCTTCAATATTTGCGGGTTCCCCTCGACTGTTTGATAGTTTTGCGCTAAACACTCACGCCAAATCAGGCAGATATGAACAGGTACGGAGAAAAATGAACAACAGAACGGGATGGAATGGCAGCAAAACGGGCAAAACATCGAGCAAGAACACCGCCAGGGAGATCAAAGAGAACATTCATAGAATGCACTTGTGCCTGCAGCAGCAAGGGCCCCAATGATTGCAAAGACATCAGAGTTTGCCCTCCCTCTCCCCGGCAGACGGGCAGGTCTTGCTCTTTCAAAAACAGGCTGGGGGCAAGCGCAAAATCACTCACAACGATCAACGGCACGTCTCAATCAATGTCGACCAGCAGGAATGACCGACCTCCAACAAGGAAAGGCAACCATCCGTTCATGGGGGCTCCATACCGAGCCTGCCAACGACACGAACCGCCGCAATCTGCAAAAATGCTATCTTGGGATTTTCTCATTCTGTGGATGTTGATCAGGGCAGCCCATTGAAAGCATTTGCGGGCCGCGGGGGGGAAGTTCAGAACCACACGCAACGACCCACCGCACGTCTCAGAAAAAAGTCAAGAGAAACGATTTTCCAGCCGTGCCTGGGGCTCCTGCAACAACTGGATCTTCTTGGTCAGCAGTTTTGCAGGGCCCAGTGGGATTCCAGCTGCAATCTGCTCGTCCAGTGTCAGCTCCAGCAGGGACTTGCCGGTGACGCCTTGCTGCCGCAGTGCGGTCACCGTCCGCTGGATGAACTCATCGTCTGCTTCCAGCCCGCCGTCAATCAGCACAGCCTCTGCCCAACTGGGCACCTGGGCCTTCTTGAAGCCCTCCACCTCCTCGCAGCTCTTGGCGAGCCAGTCCTGCCAGCACTCACCAACAAGCAAGCCTGGCGCATGCGAGCCCCCGGCCTCCGCACCACTGTCCTGGCACGATTGCAACCGGCCAAATTTACAACTGCTGATTGGAGCGTCCTGCTGCGGGCTGGCGCGCGAAGCAACTCCGCCACGCCCAGGGTGCCAGCTTGTCACCTCAAGAGCTGAAATTTAGGCAAAAAAATCACATCAACGCCGAGATCTGGACCTGTGCCTTGTGGGAATCCTGGCGGACCAATTGCACCAACTCGACTCACACACCCCAGCTGTGCGCACGAACCGACGGCCTCTTCCAAGCCCTTTTTGGTTGCTTTGGCCTGCGTCGCACGCAAACCGCTTGCGAATCTCAGACAAAGCACGCAGTCCTGCCTCCTCCACAAACTCGCGCAGTTTTTGTTGCAACTCGTCTTTCTTCCCTGAAAGGGTCCACTTCCTGGATATATCTTCTGCGCTTTTCCTGAGCTCAACACTTTCACCGCTCTTGCAACCCCGACCCACGTGCTGCTCCAGCGGCGCAAGACGGCTTTGGTCTCTTTCACCGTGCCGTTGTCCTCCAGCACCCTGTCGGCTTCTGCAACCACCTGAGCGAGGCCAAGCTGGGACGTCGCTTTCTCTGAAGGTCCGCCGCCTCCTCGAGATCGCGCCGGTCCTGACAACCAACAAGCCCAACGTTCAAGCCCGATGCACGTGTCCCCCAGGCCTGGCCACTGTTGTCCTGGCGGCAACCGGCAAACGATGCGAACAGGCTTCGGGTCGGAGGAGTCCTCTTGCGCAGCCCCGGCGCGCCGAGCGACTCCGGCATGCAACGGGTGCCGTTTTGCCTGAAAGAGCCAAAGTGCAATCTGCTTGCGCCTGCGGGCAACTCTGAGAACTGGGCCAATATGCTGTCCTGGCACTCAGCACGAAACAAGAACATCCAAAGGAGGGACTTCATGCTCCTTCAGCCCAGGAACTCCTCGAGCAAAGTCCTGGGCGGCGACAAGGGACTCCTGAAACCCGAAAACCTTCGGGAAAAATATGTCCCAAGACCCAGGCCGTGCTCGGCTGCACGAGCAGCGCCAATGCGATCCCGAGAAGGCAGAGGCACATACCTGGCCGCTGCCCACCGCGGGCACGGTAGCGTCACAAGCTTGCCAGCCTCGGCTTTTGGTCCTGGTCCGCATCATCGCCATGGCTATTCGAAAAGCGCTTGAGCGGCCTGCGATTCCTCAAGCACTGGCACTAGACCTATCGGGCAACCATTGCGAGCTGTTGTTGTGTCAGTGTTGATGAGTACCCTCGAGCCAAGTTTCCAGAGCAAACACAAGATTGACTGGCTTCTTTGGCAACACCAACGCACGGGTTTGGATGCTCCTCCTCCTTTTCACTCGCGGCCTGAAGGTCGGTCGGGCCAAGCCTTGCAAGGCTTCGCAGCGTCCATCCGTCAGACTGGCTGACCCACATCCTGCCGCTGCATCAAAGTCCAAGCGAGATACCAAACTGGCCTGCCTGCAAAACAAGCAACCGAAATCGGCACCGCGGAAGTCACAAGCTGTCGTGCCCTGGAGGGCGGGGGTTTCAGGGGTCTCTGAAAGTTTTGAGGTTTCTGGGGCGCCTGGCGTTGCTGGGGTCCCTGAGGTTCCTGGGGTCCCTGGATGAGACGCTGTCAGAGGCAGGCATGGCTGCACGCGGAGCGCCGAGCTGCAGGCTCCACCAGTCCTCCACGGACTCCTCCTGCAGGAGGCGTTCCAACGCCTCCATGCGCTCGGCGTCAGTGCGGCTCTTGGCCTGCGCCATCGCTGCGTCGGCCACCTGCAGGGCCTTTGTGTCACCGGCCAAGACGGCGGCCTGCAAGTCTTCCCAGTCAGACTTGGCCGGCTCGCAGTCACCCTCCGCTTGCCGCGGGCAAGGTCGCCGAGATAGCCCGCAACTGCATTGAAGGACATAGCAACAAGATCCACAAGCAACTTTCAGATTTCAGCCAAAATCAGCTTCGCAAGCCCTCACATCCAAAGTCTGATCAACTCGTCTGCCAAATTCTGACCAACTCCTCCGAAAGTCACATGTGCACATGCTGCTGCTGGAATCTGCTGGGCACCAGGCGTCTTCTACTGGCCCGGCCTGGGTCGACGAGCGTCCCTGGGGTCCCTGGGGTCCCTAGGGACCCTAAAAAACCCCGGGGACTCCGCAGGTCTTGGAAGGGGGGAGCCTCTGGGAAGTGGCGTGCCTTGAACCTCCATTGAACAAAGTCGTTCTGCTACGCAAACCAAAGCAACGTAGACTATCAGTCTAAAAATCTGCAAATCTAGAAATCTAATAATGTACAGATCTATAAATTGATAAATCTACAAATCTAAACATGTATGAATGTATAGATCTACAAATCTAGAAATCTAATAATGTAAAGATCTATAAATTGATAAATCTACAAATCTAAAAATGTATGAATGTATAGATCTACAAATCTAGAAATATAATAATGTAAAGATCTATAAATTGATAAATCTACAAATCTAAAAATCTATGAATGTATAGATCTACAAATCTAGAAATATAATAATATAAAGATCTATAAATTGATAAATCTACAAATCTAAAAATCTATGAATGTATAGATCTACAAATCTAGAAATATAATAATATAAAGATCTATAAATTGATAAATCTACAAATCTAAAAATATATGAATGTATAGATCTACAAATCTAGAAATATAATAAAAAATCGATCTATAAATTGATAAATCTACAAATCTAAAAATCTATGAATGTATAGATCTACAAATCTAGAAATATAATAATATAAAGATCTATAAATTGATAAATCTATGAATGTACACAAATAAATAGATCTGTATCTACTGAAACCGATACATGATCAAAAACCACTTCACAAGTCGCTTCCAGCAAAAAACCTGCAATTGACCGCAGGAATGTTCGTTGCACCCCACCTTGTCACCCCAGGTACCACAGGGTGTCCCCGGGTCCCTAAGGTCCCTAGGGTCCCTAGGGTCCCTGGCGTCCCCTGGGGTCCGCAGGGTTTCCAACGACGCTTCAGATTGACGGATGCTTGCGTCAAGAACGCTAGGGAACCTTCAGGGACCCCAGGGACCCTAGGGACCCTAGAGACCCACAAACACAGGAAGATCCACGTGGCCTCACCAGGTCAACTTGGCAAATTGGACCAGACCATGAAAACGCCGCGCAACCTGCACAGGAGTCCTGTAGAACGAATTGTGGATCCACCTTGCAAGCGGCCAAACAAAATGTGAAAAAAAAAACTCCAAAGGGCCGCACCGCGAGAAGATCTGCACGTCGCAGTGGATCCTGGCGCCTGGCATGTGACGTGATTGCTCGGCGGGTCAAACATAAAGGGAGCCTGACAGACGGTGAGTTGAGCAAGAGCCTCACGGATCACCTCAAAAGATCAGCTGCACTTGGCGACGGCAACGGAAACAGCAAAAGGTCCGGGCAATGTAGATCCCGCGGTTAAACAAGCCTTGGCACGAGAAGCAAGGCTTGTTGGGCCCAAACCTCCAAGATCAGTTGGGCTTGGCAGTGACAGCGCAAACAGCCAAGCGAAGGCCCAGGCGGTAGATCTCGAGGTCACAAAGCCTGTTGCGGGACGCCGTTCTCCAACTCCACATGGCCGGCACACTGTACGTGGGGTCGAAACCACGCCTTGCACCCGCGAGCGGTTCCCCCCCCACCGCCCCGGACCCAAAAGTGTCCCCAAAAGGCTGCGGCAAGTGCTCACACCCGACAACGTAAAACCGTGAGAAACAACAGCAAGAACCTGTCATTTTTTTGTGCGCAAAACCCGTGCAAAAAAAGAGTTTCCGGAAAAAATGACAAAAAACACCCCTTTTCCGGAAATGGCTCTCGAGCCGCTTGATCTGGGGCCGACACTTTGGTCGGACCGTTTGTTTTGTCCGCCCTATAAGAAAAGAGACCGGCAACCCAGTCAAATTAACTGCCATCGCCAGCAACATGACAGTCGGGGAGGTGCAGACCTCTCGGCGCCCTTGAGGTGCGAGGGGAAGCCCATAGTCTGGCAATCCGAGTGGACCCACATGCTGTGGGAGCCCAGCAGCTTTGGCGAGGACCAAGGATCCAGGCAGAACGTGTGCCTTGCCATGGAGAGAGGCTCCGAGGCCTGGGGGGCCGGGATGACTTCGAGAAGAAGTGCGTCAACGAGCTGTCTTTGCGGTCCAACCGCATCTGGGGCGACTGACAGGTGGCAGAGCTGCCTCAAAGAGTCCTGGCAGGGCGCCACCTTCCTGAAGTGCAAGCTGGACGCACGGAACGTCCGTTTCTGGGACACCGACGGCAACAAGATCCAAAGGCCCGAGGCCCTCGCCGGCTGCGAGCGCCAGGCCCGCGTCGAGGCCAGGCAAGTCTGGATCATGGGTAAGCAGTGTGGTTTGGTGTTGGAAGTGAGGGATCTACAGGTGAAGCCCGGTACGGGTGGGGACTCCTGTCCATTCTAAACCGGCGTTCTTTTGGTCGTGGATTGCCGACGTAAAAGAACACGCCCGGAAAAACCCGCCGAGGCGTGGAGAGAACGGACCGGGAGATCCCAGGGACCTCAGGGACCCCAGGGACCCCAGGGACTTCAGGGACCCCGGGGATTTCAGGGACCCCAGGGCACCCAGCACAACCAGGACTGACAGATGAGACTGCAAGCACCACACAACTCGCCGAGACATGTTTTTTGTGTGAAAAATAAGCACATTTGGCTCGCAGACGCGCAAAAAAAACTGCACATCACATAGTTTCCTTTGTTGCCCGTGTTCCCCCAAACGCATCCTGTTTATTCCCCTGTTCCCAAAAAAAGGCATAAAATGGCGGCCAGGGAGCCTGTCGTCACCTGTGGCCAGCATCTGTGGCCAGCACCTGTGGCCAGCACCCAGCCACAGCGCGGATCCAGCTGCCTGCTTGGCAGCCTTTTTGGCGCTTGCTCAGCGCCTCCGCCGCTTGCTCCGTGGCCGTCCGTCGCCACCCGCCTCCCCCGCCAGCCAATCCCTGGCACCACCCGATCGCCTGCTGCCGGCAAAGAAAGCTGTGCTCTGCGCTTGCTCACCCTTCCCTCACCACGTTTTGCGGCCGGTGTGGGAAGGTTTCTCGCCAAAAAAACAAATCAGGGCAATATGCCAATTTTTCAAAGGTGAGCCCTCGTAGACTTTCCATGTAAAATCGTGGTTTTGACACGCGACGACCCAACCTCTCGCCGATGGAGGTGCTACAGGGGGGCACGGATCGGGGACACCTCAACCTACCTGGGGGGGCCTGGGGATCAACGCAACATCACGGGGGTCGCGTGCCGAGCGGCGTCGACCCAGTAGAGGTAGCGGCCGCGGTCCGTGGACAGGAAGCTGTCGGCCAAGCGGATCTTGTAGACGGCCAGCCGGGCGTCGCTCTGCAAGTGCAGCGACTCTCCCAGGTCGACCTCAAAGTCGCTGTCCGAGCCGGCCACCCTCTTGCGGCTGTCCACGTAGATCGTCGTCATCCTTTTCTTTAGGAAACCGCCCGTCCGGCGGACGACGGGCGGCTGGAGATGTTCTCACACTTCGCGTTGATCAGCGTGGAGCTGGCGAACAGCTTCTGGCCCAGGAAGCGAGCGCCGCTCCCATCAACGCTCTTCGAAGCGCTTGTAGAACATTTCGTTCTTCGGCTTCAGGTAGTACACGAAGAGGAAGCTGTAAGGTTCTCGGGTCGCCTGCTCATACAGCCGGTACAGCTGCTCCTTCGGCAGCAGGGCGCTCAGCTCTTCGATGACGGCGTCCAGCTCGTGCTGGTTGCGCAGCCTCCAGCAGCAGAGGAATTGCATGTTGACCCGCACGGCTGCGCTGATGAGCCTCAGCTTCTGCGAGCTCACCCAGGTGCCAAGGTTTCGGCTCGGGTCCTTGTAGTGGTAGCCTTGCTTGAGGGCCATGGTTTCTTGTGCTTGAGACTGTGGTCGGACGAATCGGGGCCATTCCATTTTCTTGATGCGATCTGCGTGTATGAATTTCAGCAGCCAGACTGGTAACATGGGTTTCCTTAGTGAGCGAGAGAGGAATTTGGGTTTCCTTCCTCTTGGTCCGTGGAAACATGCGAAACGGTTTGACTATGATGGCATGTGCGGCATGCATTTGCCGAATTTTCCGGTCGAGATGCAAACCTGGAATGACATTCAGGCATTTGTTGGGTCGTACATGCATGACTTGTGGTTCGACTTGAACATCAAGGGACGTGGACAGTGCCGTATTCCTTTTCAGCCAGGCGATACATTACAATTTGCTATTTACAAGGCACTGGGAGTGGACAGCAGGAAGTGGACTCTGGCCTTTGGAGGAACGAATATTCCGGTTGAGAGCGATGCACTCTTTTACCATGGAGGACTCTTCCGGATGAAGTCTTTTCAGATGGAGCTCACCGAGATTGCGGATAAATTTGAGGGGCATCCAGTGAGGACCGATTTTGGTAGGCGTTGCCGGAGATCATCGGAACCGCAGGGACTTGATCGACGCTTTTGCCATGATATCAAGATCTGGATAGCAAAGCCGAGTATGAACTCCGCTATGCCTGAATATGTTCGGCAGCGTGCGGTTGGGCAGTTGTTGCAAGACATGGGCTTTCAACTACACCGGATTCGAGCGCTCAGGAATGGTAAATCAGTCTTGATGACCGACATGCTCAAGCAGGATGATGTCCTGAGGGTCAGGTGGAAAGGTTTGCCCGGGGGATCAAGCGAGGGTGAAAACGCGTTGTCTGACCAGTGGCAGGTCTTTTTTCCAGCAGGTACTGACAGAATTCGTTTGACCAGACATCACCGGATCCCGCGCACTGCATTATACATACCAGATAATCTTCCTCCGGGAACTACGGTTGACATGTTGCGACCTGAGCGCACCACCCATGTGGCACCGATCCAGCTGAATAGGCCGCCTTTCCAGCGCACGGATGACTGGAGAGCAGATGGAGCAGATCAGCATTTGCCTTACCTGTGGACAGGAATGAGCAGATTTGTGGTAGGACCCCCGGTGTGGAACCCATTGCGAGCCTCGTCGAGTACGGTGGTAATTGAACCAGGCGCGGCCCCACCTCCTGATGCCCCTAGATCCAGCCGGCCGGCAAGATCCAGGTCGCCCCCACGCCGGGGAGAAGGGGCAACGGATGCCCAGAGCAGAGGTCGGGGTACCAACACACATTGGAGAACCGCTCCATCAGGAAGCAGCTTGGCGTACAACTGATGGACGAAGGACGGATTGCTTGCCAAGCATTGATCAAGTATCAAGGGCGGCTTTCAAGAGCGCGGTGATGGAGTATTTGCCGGTTGACAAAATATGCATGTGTCTGAATAGATCTTTCACAGCACTCTTGATGCACGACGAACCCACCAAGGAGGAGGACAACCGGATTTTGGTTCAGGCCCACATCAACGCAATCCGGCCCAGCAGGCATCAGCTCAAGGAGATTCTGACGTCCAGGTGTCAGTGCAATGTTTCTCAACGGACGATCATCGTGGAATATACAACAAAGCAGTGGGATTACCTACTGAAGCACCCAGGTCCGGTTTTTGCGGTTGGTTTACAGCAATGGGAGGGCCACATCACTGCGCAAAAGGCCTTTTTGGTGCCGCTGACACAACCTCGACAGCCAGGAGGCACTGACATCAAATGTTGTGATGTTTTTTGCGGAGGGTTTGGAGGTTGGCACCGTGCAATGAAGGCCCTTGAGTCGGTCCTTAAGAATAACCCTTCCTTTCAGATGGTTTGGGCCCTGGATAGAGACCAACAGGCGGCACAATGCTATGCCGAGAATGCAAAACAGTGGGGTAACTCACATCAGACGGATGTCATACAGGCGGATGTTGCTGACCATACGTGGCTGGGGGAAGAACAACTTCAGGCTTTTGACATTGCTATGATGAGTAGTCCCTGTCAACCATGGTCCACGGCGGGCTGGGAAACTGGTTTCAGCCACGAATCGGGTACGGCAGTTTTGCATGCTATCATGAAACTGGCTTTTGCGCGACCGTCAATCATTCTCATTGAGAACGTTGCAGGTTTCCGAACGCATGAACAGTGGGCATGGGTCCACGCTTTGCTTGATTTTGCCCACTATCAGCAAGTTTGGGAGACCACATCAGACCTGTCAGAAGTCCTGCCACAGCATCGGAAGCGATATCTTGCGGTTTACAGGAACACGCTTGATCAGCAACACCCAACGGCGGCTTGTTGTGGATGGATACCGCAGTTTGCAGTCAGCCTCACCAAATGCGATGTGATACTCTCGCCGGACCAGGCCAGGAGCTGCCAGTGTGAACTTGCACCCGAGGTCTTGCAAAAA